AATGGCCTACTTAGTCACTACCCACAGGCTTCACATCAAACGATCAATCCTGTTTGAATCTAGGAACATAACAGAGAATCAGGAGACCTTAGCCTAAGCCTCAAGGACTGGCACACACACAGTGTATTTCAAGACATAATGCAAATAGCAGTGTTAAAATAAACATGAATCTGAAATCTCATTAAATAACACTGACACTGTGTTGCATCAGAAAAGGTTAAGACCACTCAACTATAAATATTTTTAAGGGAAGAAAAAAATAGCAAAAATGTTAAGATACGATATTTTCTAAATTCTGAACCACACTCTAGCCCAAAGTTTGATAGGTAAGGTTTAAAAAAATTCTAAAGATATTGGGAAAGTAATTTTCACTTATTCCAGTGAGACTGGACATCTTCACATGGGCTTCTTGTGGTGACAGGGTTTTTAAAGTTTGGCCATGGAACCTGATGGCTCTCATCACACCCAGTACAACTACTTCCATGGTGGCTCCATGGCTGAACTGGAAAAACACCCTCTGCTGCCGCCAAAAATAAGCCAGCAGTGGATGTCGGGAGGCTCCCCATCTTTCCATTAGGAAAGATGGGTCAAGTAAGATTTAGGAACCTCCCCCCCCCATGTGATGAGGCAGTAGAGAAGCTGTGACAGTGCTGGGCATGAGGTGACAGGTCCCCATGCCCCCTGTGTGGGTGCTGCTGGGATGCAGCAAGACTAGCTGATTCTGGTGGTATGTGAGAAAGGGTGGTATCTCACAGTAAGTATACATAGGGTTGCAGTCATAGTTGAATAAGACATATTGCCTATAATTTCCTCTCAAAATTGTAAGGGTTTGGGAATTGGGGCTATATAATTTGAAATGGATTGAATAAAAAAGTAAGTTATTTCAATATCTTTTGGCATTGAGTACTGCAGTCGGTTTATTAGAGAGACTAAATATTTTAGCTCTTGCCATGGTAATTTTTCTACATCTGATTACCTGTTGTTAGTAGAGTGATAATAATAGGATGATTGATTAATATTGAACATGTTAAAATAGAGGCCATGGTTAGTACAGTGGGTTAAACAGCCAGCTACAGAAAATTTTGCTGACCAGAAGTTTGGCAGTTCAAGGGGCGAGTCTGGGCGCGCTCCTGCTGTCAGTTCTAGCTTCTGCTTACCTAGCAGTTCAAAAACAGCAATGTGAGTAAATAAATAGGTACCGCCTTGGCGGGGAGGTAAAAGGTGCCCCAGAAAACATGCTGGCAATGTGATCAGGAAGGCCTTCATAAACAACAGGCTCCTTGGCAAGGAAAGATGGAATAACAACACCTCCCCATGGCCGAGTTGAGTACAGCCTCCAGATTCGAGAGATGAAAAAGAGGGAAGCCTTGCCTCTGTCTTTGTACTGTCTGTCTTTGTTGTTAATTGTATAATGGCATTGCATGTTTGCCATATATGTATTCTGTAATTTGCTCAGAGTCCCTTCAGGGTGATAGAACGGAACATAAATAAAGTATATTTTATTATTGTTGTTATTGAACAAGTCTTTCAGATTTGACGGCATTTGGGTGTCATGATAAGCTAGAGGTCTGCAAGAACTCTGATACTGTTAAGGTTGAGCTGTATGCTGAACTATGCAGTCCCAATGCCCCTGCTTTTCAATTCAAGAAAGGTATTAACAAGCTAGATCATGCCCAGAGAACAGCAACCAAAATGGTCAAAGGTTTGGAAGCCAAGCAGCTTAGGGAGCTGGGTACGTTTAGTTTGGAGAAAAGAAGCCTGAGAGGGAACGTGATAGCCATGTTTAAATATTGGAAAAGCTGTCCCATTCAGGGGGAGACAAGTGTGTTTTCTGGAGATTAGGACAAAGAATAATGGAATCAAATTGCAGGAAAAAAAACTTTCTGATAGTAAGGGATGTTTAGCAATGGAATATGCTGCCTTAGAACATGGTGGATTCTCCTTCTCTGGAGGTTTTAAAGTAAAGTTTGGATGGTCATCTGTTGGGGGAGGGGTGCTTTGTGTTTTCTTGCATTGCAGGGGGGTGGACTGGATGACCCTTGTGGTTTCATCCACTTCTTCCACTTCTATAGTTCTGTGGAACAGCTAAACAAACCAGGGACCTTCAGTCTGTGGCTTGTTTACTGTGTGATTTGAATCTGGCTGGAAGTGAGCTCTCTGGCATGCTTCTCTCCAGCCAAGCTGAAAAAATCGCCATACAATAAACATTGACTCAGTTCTCTAGGTTGCCTTGGGATGGGGACAAGTCAGAGAGTCAACTCCCTGCTGGATTTGTGCCTCACAATAAATAAACCACCTGTTATATTGTTTAGCTGCTTCTGCTAAAAACAAGAGAAATTGGCCAGCATACACAGGCACCCTTTGTTGCTATGTGTCTTCAAGTCATTTCCAGATTATATCAACCTGAATTGAAATTTAATGTGGAGACTTGTTCAGAGGGGATTTGCCATTGCATCCCTCTAAGGCTGGAAGTGACTTGTCCTACTTCATCCAGTGGGTTTCCATAACCAAGTAAGAGTTTTAGCCTGGTCCAGCACTCAAGCCACTACTACACTACTTGCAAAATACATATTTGTCCAAAAGGGACAACATTTCATCTTGTATGGTCATTGTTTATCTAAGGACCTCATTATATTGTCTTCTGGCTTCGTCCTAGCACACTTCCAGGACGGAGGCCACCAGAACTCTTCACACAATGCAAGGCTACTTCTGGCAGGGCTCTGCCCTGAAAGTATCATAGGATGGAGCCCAGAGAACACAGGAGGCTTCTGATGTTCTTATTGCTTAGAATGGAACCAGTGCAGGGGAAAGTCGGCAGCATCTTCCCCCATCTTATGGGGAAAGTTATGATGCAGGGCACAGGGCAACTACCAGGTGAATCCTCTCACTGCCTGGCAAATCACCCCACTGTCACCCGCATTTAGGACCTCCATGTGATGAGGTCCTAAGATAGTTGATAAGCACTGCCTTTCCTATGTTCATCTGATGTTCTCTGTACAGGTAGTCCCCAAGTTATGAACAAGATAGGTTCTATAGGTTTGTTCTTCAGTTGAATTTGTATGTGAGTTGGGATTAAAGTGTAACTCCAGATATATATGTATATATATAAAAACACCAAACCCAAGGATTCCCTAGAACAAAACTATGGCAATTAAAGTAGAATCATAGCTATGCTGTTGTTGTTCATTCGTTCAGTCGTCTCCGACTCTTCGTGGCCTCATGGACCAGCCCACGCCAGAGCTCCCTGTCAGCCGTCACCACCCCCAGCTCCTTCAAGGTCAGTCCAGTCACTTCAAGGATGCCATCCATCCATCTTGCCCTGGGTCGGTGGCCCCTTTTCCTTTTACCTTCCACTTTCCCCAGCATAATTGTCTTCTCTAGGCTCTGCTGTTTCCTCATGATGTGGCCAAAGTACTTCAACTTTGTCTCTAGTATCCTTCCCTCCAATGAGCAGTCGGGCTTTATTTCCTGGAGGATGGATCTTCTCGCAGTCCAAGGCACTCTCAGAACTTTCCTCCAGCACCACAGTTCAAAAGCATCTATCCTCCTTCGCTCAGCCTTCCCTAAGGTTCAGCTCTCACATCTGTAGGTTACTACAGGGAATACCATGGCTTTGACTATGCGGATCTATGTTGCCAGTGTGATGTCATAGCTATGCTACTGTATGGTTAAATGGTTCCTTCCATGTGGAAACCTTCTGCAGACCTTGTAATGCTAGCACTTGTGTTATGAAAAAACTCATGATTTGTGATGCTAGAATTATTTGCTCCAAATGCCACAATAGGTCACATATCCACTGTCCCAGTTTTCAAACTCCTCCTCTAAACCGGGCTTTTTGCTGCCCTAATGTCATCTAAATACAGCATACATGCAAATATATTTGATCTTAACTTGTGAATTTTGGCATCAGTGGGAATGGATATACTCTAAATAAGTGCCCAGATTTTCATGCTATCAGTAAAGCTAGCATTTGTTGTTGTTATTAACTGCAGTCTAGGCAACTTCAACTTATACGGTCCCTAAGAATGAGAGCTCTTTAAGTCACCCTGCAGTCAACAGTCCTGCTCAGATCACGCAGACTCAGAGCTATGACTTCTTTCATTGATTTTTTCCATCTGTAATGTAGTCTTCCCTTTTCCTACTGCCTTCTACCTCCCCAAGGATTGTTGTCTTTTCTGGTGAGTTATGACTTCTCATAATATGTCCAAAACACAACAGTTTTCATTTAGTCACCTTGGCTTCCAGGAAGGGTTCAAACTTGATTTGCTGCATGACTCATTTATACTGGAACAAAACCTGGGTTGTTGCAAGTTTTTCGGGCTGTATGGCCATGTTCCAGAAGCATTCTCTCCTGATGTTTTGCCTGCATCTACAGCAGGCATTTCTCAGAGGTTGTGAAGTTTCACAAACCCTGAGGGTGCCTGCCATAGATGCAGGTGAAACATCAGGCGAGAATGCGTCTGAAACATGGCCATACAGTCCAAAAAAATACATGATAGATGGAGCAAAAACTGTAGATAACTGACTTGATGTATCCAGTACCTTGGTGATATCAGGGAAATTTTGGAGTGGTTGACTATTCACCCAAAAAGAGCAGAAATTGCTACAGAGCCAATTGACATTGTTCTCATGATTCAGGGAAATGATCTTATGTTGATGTTTCATCTGAGCAGCTCAATGATAACTTTGAAACACATACACATACATATATACGCATACATACACAGTGTCTTAGGGCCTTGTCCCATTTTTGCTTCTTCATCCACAGCTGCAATGTAAACATGAAAACCTATGGCAAATTCATAATTTATCTTACAGCTATACAGTACAACCTCACTAACCACTGAATTGACATCCATGGTTTAATTTAACTGTGTTCCCAAGAGAAATCTCCCAAGAATTGTGTTTGATACCCTCTAGGTCCTTTTGTGCTATTCATTGGTATGTTTCCCATTCAAGTACAATCAAAATCTAGAGTTTGCTATTATCTGTGGTTTCAGGTATCTACAGAGGGTCTTGGAACATATCATCCACAGATACAAGGATCATACTTCATGTGTCAGGAATCAGGTTGGTTAACTCAGAAGCCAAGTTGTTTTTCCATTGTATGATGCATGAAATCTGTCTGCAGTTTGTTTATTTCTTTACTTCAGACTTTATTTGTGGCATTCATTGGACTAGGGAGAATTGCAAGTTACAGGGATGATTTTCCCTCATTATAGCACTTCTCAATCATCACACAATTGGGACAATTTGTCAATCCATGATCCTGTAGTCATATATCCAGTTACAACCACCCTCTATAGTTCTGCTGATTTTATTTTGTAAATATTCCTTGTATATCTTCACAATTCCAGTGAAGATTTGGTGATCCCCCCACCAAAGTAAATACAGTAGAGTCTTGCTTATACAACCTTTGTTCATCCAATATTCTGTATTACAAAACGCAGTCTGGATCCATTGCAGTTTCAATAGATTGTGATGTTTTGGTGCTAAATTCGTAAATACGGTAATTACTACATAATGTTACCATGTATTGAGCTGCTTTTTCTGTCGGTTTGTTGTAAAACACAATGTTTTGGTGCTTTATGTATAACATAATTTGATTTTTAATAGGCTTTTCCTTAATCCCTCCTTATTATTCAACATTTCGCTTATCTGACTTCTGCCGGCCCATTTATGTTGGATAAGCGAGACTCTACTTGTAATTGAATGACTGTGAAGGGTGGGTGAAGGTGGGGTAGAATGCAGGAGAGGACCAATATTCAAACACAGGGCATCTTTGGATGACCTGCCCCAAATTGTGTGATAGCTACCAAAGGAAGAGTCTTCACTGTAGTATCCCCTTCTAAACAGAGATACCTGGAATTCTTATTAATTCCTTATCCAGCAAGGCATTCAGCCCTTGATGCATGTTTCTCTTTGTTTTACTTATTCAGTTCTGTTGCTGACTCTCAAATACTCTTCTTTAGTTGACCTATTTATTTATGTGGTAAAATGTACAGTTTTCTTTATTGATTGCATTTTTAAGCCTGCAAACTGCCCTAAAGACATTTTCAAGTAAATGGTACTAAAACAATAAAAAAAAGAAAATTATTTTAAATAAAGAAATAATAAACAATCCAGCCAAACTTATGTCCTTCCAGATGCTGTTGAACTGCATCTCCCAGTTGTTCTTAATACTAGCTAGGGCTGATGGGAATTGCTGTTCGCCATATGGAGAATCCACAGGAACTGCCATCCCTGTTTTTAGCAATTTCATTTCAATTAAGTGTGCACTCATTTTAACTCTCCTTTTGAACCCCAAAGAAGTTCATTATTGCTGGCTTGTGCTCACTGTAATTAGGAAAAATACAACTTGTTGCATAATTTATATGCCACGTTTCTGTTCATGAGCAGGAACAAAATTCTCCTTCACGAAATGTTTGACTTAGATATGAGGACTTGATCGATGGAACTTATAAACATTTTAAATCTAGATCCTGGAGGAAAAGGAGAGGAAGGAAAAGATGAAAGAAATCATTTTGCATTTTTATCAGTATTCAAAACAAGCTTTTGCAGGCATGATGGTGATTATGGTGGTGATAGTGGTGGTGATGATAGTGGTGATGATGGCAAAAGATTATGATGTGTGTTCAGCTCAGCACCATCCATGCCATCTCTTCACATTACTGAGGCATGCTGAGCTTGATTCATGTTCACAAAACCACTGACATTAAAAATGCAAACACTGATTTAGTATAAAAACTGTATTTTCATAGCAATGTGTTAATCCAGTAGTATATGCCTATTAACTGGGGAGAGGGGAGGACTGAAACATTAGATATGCATCTCAGGGCTAATCCAAAAAGGTGTGTGTGGGGGGGGGGGAGGCGGGGACCCTTGGAGAATCTACAAAAAAAATCATAGTTTTGTATCTGAGTTCTTTCTTGAAATATTTTGGGCATTATTTACATATTCGTCTATGATTTTCAACATGTACATCCACCTGCAGGGAGAGTTCAGATAGAGCTTTGGGGTTGGATGTCCTTGGTATGTTGATGTGCTGATGAAACCCAGCTCTCTCCTTTACAACTGAATCACTAGGTTGCAATAGCATTGCATTGTTGTCTGGATGCAGTGAAGGGTTGAATGCAGGTGAATAAACTGATGCTTAATCCAGATAAGGCAGAAGTGCTAGTCAAGAGGAAAACCAACTCGAGATTGGAATCTTGGGGCCCTTCTAGACAGGCCCTATATCCTAGGATCTGATCCCAGGTTTTCTGCTTTGAACTGCATTATATGAGTCCGCACTGCCAGATAATCTGGGATAATCAGAAAACTTAGTATCAGATCCTGGGATACAGGGCCTGTCTGGAAGGACCCTCACCCTGCTTGGGATGGGATTGTACTTCCTCTGAAAGATCAGGTTTGTTTCTTAAACTGTTCCTGTACTTCAAACTGTTTCAGTAACCAGAAGACCTTTGATCAGCTTCAGCTGGTATACTAGCTGTGCTTTTTATATTTTTGGTGGGGGGGGGGGGGGGGGAGGCAGATATGGCCACAATGGTTCAAGCCTAAGTTCCCTCCCGATTAGACTACTGTAATGTGATGTATATGGGGGCTGTCCTTGAAAAGTGATTGAAGGATACAACTTGGGCAAAATACAGCATTTAGACTGATGTCAGGTGTGCATTTTAGAGACCATATAACATTAGCCCTGCAAGAACTGCACTGGCTTCCACTGCTTCTGAGCTCATTTCAAGGTGACCTACAAAAATCTAAATAACTGGAGATATTTAAAATACTGAAATACCATCTCCTCCCACATGAACATTCCATACATTTGAGCCCTGTTGTGACTCCCAACATCTCATGAAGGTTGGTGGGTACATGCAACAGGGCATGTACCCTGTTGCATGTACCTGCCTTCCACAGCTGAGTTGCTAGTTGCAACTTAGCAGTGGAAGTCCCTACACAAAGCAGTAAGCCTGACCTCATCTCTTTTAAGCATCACCAGTACTGGTTTGCATAGAATTCAGAGTTTGCAATTGTTGTTTAACTGTTTAGAATTGGATGATAGGATTATTTTCAGGCTGTTTTAAAGAGGTTTTCAGTGTTTTTATCTTTGTATTGATTTAATTTGTGTTTATTCATTTACAAACCAGGCCTACCTGGAGATAAGCAAGTGCCGATAGCAATATCCCAATATCCATAAGGGGCAGCAATCAGTTTCTCTCTATTGCTGCTGCCCTGCTGTCCAGCTACACACACACACACACACACACACACACACACAGCTTGTGCCCCATTCCCACCAATCTTTATCCTCACTTACAGGTGTCCCTTGCATATTTCAACATTTTTTTTTTCTTTTTGACACTGAACAAATTCCTAACTTGTCAAATAAGTGGATGCTCATATATTGTATTCTTAGGCTAGTCTGGTTTCAGGTCAAAGAATATTTATGCTCCATGCATTACACTTTCTGCCCTTTTTGCAAGGCATTTCTGAATCTGAGCCTTTTCTGAATGAACTGAACAGTGAGCAAGAATGACATTGTCAAAGGCATCCGCTTGTGCCCCGAGGGGCTGATCATGAATCATACGTCTACATATTCCCAATTTCTTTAAAAATTGAATGCTCTGATTTTAGCAGGGATGTTTTGAGTGAGTCACACTGTAGGTGCTAGCAGCACTTGTGAAGAACAAATTTTATTCTCTTCTCAGCATTTGATTTGAGAGTAAGATTTTCAATCTCTAAGTGCAAAGTTAATACTGCAAACATCTCCAGTAATGTCACGTTTCTTCTAATTCCCCTTCTGCTTTGGGAAAATAAGGGATTCCAATCCCTTTTGGCTGTCAGGATATGAGAGATATTAAATATAAATAGAAAAAGTACCTTCAAGTGATCTCTCTTAGTTGGCAAGTAATACAGTAAAATTTAATATGCATATTCAATGAAAAAGGTAAGCAAATGAATTGGGTACTTTGGAAGCTCTTTGCTATAAATAATAGGAATATACAGCCATATTTTTGTGTTACATACACTGTTTGGTTTTTCAACATGCATTGGTTTAAGAAATACCAAGGGCAATATTTTAATGGAAGTCTAGAATGAAAGATAGTACTTTATACTTTAAAAAGAATATTATATGACTACTTCTGTGAGCTGCCTTAAGCTCAAAAGAGGCTTCCAACACTGACATAAATTATTCTCATTGTGAGGCCGCAAGGAAAGTGTGTACATGTTGTGCTGTCTTGTTAAGAGCCCATGCAGCAGTTAGAGATCTTGAAGATTCAAGGAACAAACATGTTAATGGCTTGAAGAAAGAAACTATATTGTACATACCCAGGGTGTTGATCCAACCTAGCTATATCTTGAAAGGTCGAGAGGGGACAGATGGAGAAACATCCCTAAGAGTATCAGTTTATATAAAACTGATATCAGAAAGATATAGATCAGTGGGTCCCCAGATGCTTTGGCCTTCAACTTCCAGAAATCCTAACAGCTGCTAGACTGACTGGGATTTCTGGGAGTTGTACACCAAAACACCTGGGGACCCACATGTTGAGAACCACTGATATAGAGGGAGGGCACTTCAGGACAATCAATTTATCTAATAATACTACTACTTCCCACTGTGAGCATTCTTCACTCTTCATTGCTAGGTTTTGTTGCATTTACAACAATAGTAATAAGACAGCATAATATCATAATACAATCCTTTAAAGGTTCATTAATCATTTAATGTCATCTGTCCTCTTCATTTCTATAAACACTTGTTGTGAGGACATAATGAGTGAAGTGGAGGGCCACGTATCCCACACAAGGTGTAATAAAAGTGTAATATGGAAGTGTAAATGGAAGAAGCCTAACAGCAGATTTCAAAGGAAGCCATATTCTCCCCTGCATGGCCAAAATGAGACATTCTCCTGCTCTCAATCTGCTGGTCCCTACCCCATCCCCCAAAATGTGCCCCTCAGAAAAGATATTGAGGGCACAAACAAATAAACATAGGAGTTTTGGGCAAAAAGAATATGCCTCCCCCAAGATCTACTGATAAGTTTTTTTTCTTCTTATATAAAGAT